GCCGCGCGCGACCTGTCCCGCAAGCCCTACCTGTGCCACCGGCTGCCGCAGCCCGCGCACGGCCTCCGCTTCTGCCCCTACGAGGACGTGCTGGGCGCCGGGCACGGCGGCGGCTTCACCAGCCTCCTCGTGCCGGGTAAGTGGGGACACCGGGGACACCGGGGACGGCGCGCCGTGCCCGCCGTGACCGGCTCTCGCAGGCGCCGGCGAGGCCAACTTCGACGCCTTGGAGAGCAACCCGTACCGGAGCCGCAAGCAGCGGCAGGAGTGGGAGGTGAAGGCGCTGCTGGAGAAGGTAGCGCCGTGGGGACGCGTGGGGACAGCGGTGGGGACAGCGGTGGCACCGCGTGACCCCCCTGCTTGGTGCCCAGATCCCCGCCGAGCTCATCACGCTGGACCCCACGCACCTGGAGCGGGTGGACACGGCCAGCCTGGAGCAGAAGCGCCGGGAGAGGGTCGAGCGGCTGGTGAGGGGGGACGGTCCCGTCGGGGACACCCACGTTGGGGACCCCCGCGCCGGGGCCACCCGCCCGTCCCCACCGGGTGCCGTCACCGCCGCCCGTGTCCCCACAGGGCTTCGACCCCGACGCCCAGCGGCGCTTCCGCCCGCGCCGCAAGGCCAAGGGCGGCAGCTCGGCGGGCGGCCTGCTGCGCCGCAAGAGGAAGGTGGCCCACGACAAGCAGCGGGTGCGTGTCCCCCGGCGCCACCTCCGCCTTGTGGCCTTCGGCCCCGGCGYCCTCATCCTCCTCCTCTGCCCAGGCCGTCATCCGCCGGAGCGTGGAGCAGCGGGAGCAGCGGGACAAGGACAAGGACAAGGCGGCGGCCCCGGCGCGGCGCTCGGCTCTCGACCGCTTCAAGAAGTAGCGCGGCCGTCGCCACCGCCGTGTCCCCGTCCCTGGGGACCATTAAAGCTGCTCCGTGTCCGTCTGTCCCCTCCCTGCTCTGTCCGTCCCTGCCCTCGAAGCGGCCACACGTTGGTGCCCCCCATGGCTTTTATTGGCAGAGGTTGTCCCCAGCGTGGGTTGGTGGTGACCCGAGCCCGGAGATGCTCCTTGGTGCCGTCCCATCAAGGTGGGACCTTTGGGGGTTGCTGGCGATGGACAAGCCAAGTCCACGTCACCGCTGGAGATGGGCAGGGGTCACCAAATGCCGCATTTGGCCGCTCCTTGGTCCCATCTCGTCCATGGAGACCCTGTGGGGGTTGCAGAGGGTGGATGATGGAGGTCCACGTTGGCATCAGAGCTGGTTGATGGGTGGCCAGATGTCACGCGTGGCCACTCTTTGGTACCCGTCTCCTCAAGGGCAACCCCTTGAAGGTTGCAGAAGATGGATGGCCGAGGTCTCTGTCACCACCAGAGCTGCCTGAAGGTCGCATACGGTCTCTCCATGGTCTCATCCCACCAACAGCGTCGTCTTGAAGGTCATAGATAATGGATAACTAAGGTCCACGGCACCAGCAGAGTTGATTGAACGTCACCTGTGGCCACTCCTTAGTCCCATCCCATCAAGGCTGGTGCTTTGGGAGTTGCAGATAGTGGATGGCCAAAGTCCATGTTGGCACCAGAACTAGTTGAACGTCACCTACGGCCACTCCCTGGTCCCATTCCTTCAATGGAGACCCATGAAGGTTGCATATAGTGGATAACTGAGGTCCACGTCGCCACCAGAGCTGGGTGAATATCACCCATGGGCACTCCACGGTCCTGTCCCATCAAGAGACCCCTTGAAGGTCACAGATAATGGATGGCCACCGTCCACATCACCTCTAGAGTTGACTGAATGTCACATATGGACACTCCATGGTCCAGTCCCGTCACTGGAGACCCCTTCAAGGTGACACCTGGTGGACGACCAAGTCTATGTCACCACCACAGTTGGTTGAACACCATACACAGATGCTCCATAGTCCCATCACTGGAGACCCCTTCCAGGTGACACAAGGTGGACGACCAAGTCTACGTCACCACCAGAGCTGGTTGAAGGTCACATGTGGCCACTCCATGGTCCAGTCCCATCACTGCAGACCCCTTCAGGGTGACACATGCACATGGTGGATGACCAAGTCTACGTCACCACCAGAGCTGGTTGAATGTCATACATAGATGCTCCATGGTCCCGTTCCATCACTGGAGACCCCTTCAAGGGGATACCTGGTGGACAACCAAGTCTGTCACCACCAGAGCTGGTTGAACGTCATACAGGGATGCTCCATAGTCCCATCACAGGAGACCCCTTCCAGGTGGCACATGGTGGACGACCAAGTCTTTGTCACCACTGGAGTTGGTTGAACATCACATGTGGCCACTCCACGGTCCCATCCCATCACTGAAGACCCCTTCAAAGCAATGCCTGGTGGACCAGCCCATGTCACCACCACAGCTGGTTGAACGTCAGACATAGGCGCTCTGTAATCCCATCACTGGAGACCCCTTCCAGGTGACACAAGGTGGACGACCAAGTCTACGTCACCACCAGAGCTGGCTGAAGGTCACATGTGGCCACTCCATGGTCCAGTCCCATCACTGGAGACCCCTTCCAGGTGACACATGGTGGATCACCAAGTCTTTGTCACCATCAGAGCTGATTGAATGTCACACGTGGCCACTCCATGGTCCAGTCCCATCACTGCAGACCCCTTCCAGGTGACCCCTGGGGGTCCAGCCCACGTCACCACGGGGTCCAGGTGCCCGT